AAAAAAAATAAAATTAACATTCTTATTTACATATTTTCTCTATCCACTACTACTACTATAACAGAATCTTTAGATGACGTGGAGATAGATGAGAAGTGTTATGATTCTATGAATTGAGTAAGTGGGATAATTTTGGTGCCTCACATATGTGAGATAACATAGACCAAAACAACGTTTCATAATATCATCCTTTCCATGGCATATAGGGAGTATGATAGCCTAATTGGCCGTCAAATTTTCTTTCATTTTATTTTCAACAGTTAATCACATTTTATTTTAATTAATTTAGAATTAATTTATATTAGACCCACAAGGAAAGAAGCTCTCCTAATACTTTTTTGTTATTTATAAAATTTAAATTTAAAATTTTATTTTAAAAAAATTAAATCCATTCTATTCAAATTAATAGGCCATTAGTAAAATTATAAACTGTAATAATAAATAATCTATAAAAGTAGAGATATTGCCAACGATCTTTGTAGAGTTGAGGAATGCCTTTTCATGTTCATTCTTGCAAATATTTATAATTCGTACTATCCATAACTATTAAGTAGAAGACCTAAGTAAAATGTTATTCTTAAAAATAATAGGGGTAGCTCAATGAAAATGACAGATTAAAAATGTTAAAGAGACTAAGGGAGATGATAAATAGAAGAATCATAGTGCAATCCAGCTTAGATTATGTACAAGTGGGCAATTTTAATATTAATAATATAAAGAATATGGGAATACGTCTCTTGTCCCAATCAAATCCAATTTCTCATATCTATGATATGTAAAAGGCAAAAACTCTTTTTAAACCTTTAAATTTATGTTAAAATAACATTTAAACTCTTAAATTAAAAATAAAATAGATAAAACCTTCAATTTCATTATTGATGCATATAAGTCATTTTCACAAATGAACCAAGCGGTAGTTCATGTTCAATATCACCTTAAAAGTGTAAAAATCCCATAAATGAGAATGGTTTATTTGTATCATTAATAGAGTTGGATGGTTTATTTACTTCATTTTTAGTTTAAGGATTTAAATATTATTTTAAGGTAAATTTAAGAGTTTAAAAAGTGTTTTGCCCTGTCAAAATAAATCCCCTCTTTCTATCGTAAGCATCTGTTGACAACAAACAAATTCACATTACATTAGTGAAATCCCACTTCAAATTTCGGCAAAATAATGCACCTTGACATCACTTCCTTAACTACTTTTTGCATGAGATATCATATAAAACCGTTTCGCTGGGCAATTAAAAGATATTTATATGCATTTGGGCCTTCCATCCAATGGCGTTTAGCCACGGTAAATGCATCTCTCCCTTTGTATAACGATTTAAATTTGACTTTTTATAAAATTATTTTTTTTAAAAAATAAAAGATATTTATATAAAATAAACTAATACATATAAATTTATATATTTTATTAAATTATAAAATTATTATGGTATCATGTTGTGAGATAATTAATATATTATCAGTTAATCAATTTTTTTTAAAGGTCAGCTAACCTTAGTAAGGAATAATTTGGGAATCTGCTTTTCCTTAGCTTTGCGCATCTTTAATTGGATGTAATTTTTTATTCTTTATTTTTATTTCAAAATAATTAGTATCAAGTACTTATTGATTTTTTTAAATCAAAATTTTAAGATAATTTATATGTTTATTTATATTATTTATATATATATAAAAAAATATTTGTGATAAAATAATAATTAAAGTAAAAGAATAATAATAGAGTTAAAATTTTAAAAATATTTATTTATTTTAAAAAATAAAAATAACAATTACAATTTAAATTAAATTAAAAATTAAAAACAATAATCATTTTGAAAAAAAAAATAAAAATCTATGTATGTATGTATGTTCAAAAACCATATATCCACGTTAAAAGAGTTCTAATTCTAGCATCGAGTTTGTCTGTGAACCCAAAATCCACGAAGTGATGGACCATCAGTGTCGTCTCCATCTCATGTCTTGTACCTTACCTGTTGTGTCGCCTTCAGAGTTACACGGGGACCATAATCTAAGCTGATTTAATGAGATAATTGAATGTTGACATGCGGGAAGAAGTAATTCCATTTTTCACTCATACGTAGTTGCACAAGTAAATAAACTGAATTGAATAATCTTATTAGAAGAACTTGAATCGTATAAAAGTGAATAAAATAAATTAAAAATTAAGAGAATGTTTTATTTTTTTATTTTAGAATCGTAAACAAAAAAATAAATATACTAAATTGAATATATGATTGCTGAGAAATGGCCAGGCGCCTACGATGTGTCACCAACAACTGTGGGGGTAACCAAAAAAGGCACGAATGGCCGTTGTAGCAGGGGGGACTGGGTGGTCCAGTGGTCCTCTACTTCATTGACACCATAGTCCCCTCATGTACTCATTTTTTTTTTTTTCTTCTTTTTGGGTTTGTGCAAATGGGTCCCTTGTGCTCTTGTTTAATCAACGATAATCCAAAATTTATGCTTTTCTTAGCAGAGTAGGTTAAGGTTAAGCCATTTTCATCTTCTTGCAAACTTGAATTTCAATTCAAAGATCTTGTCCTTTTTTCAATTTTGGCTTTGATTTCTTGCCGCGGAATCACATTTTAGGACAATGATGAACATGGGGTCTTTACAGGGGAGCAGAAGTCATTGCCACAGTTTTTCCCAGTCAAATTGTCCATTGTAAAGCACTTTGAATTAACAAGTTAAATTTGTTAATGATTAATTAACTTAGTTGTCTCTAAATGACCATATAATCTCATTCTTCTTAGAAGTAAAAATTTAAAATTCAACTTATATATAAAACTCATAATGTCATATATTGGAGAGAAAAAAAAAACCCCTAAACTTGATTATGATTATATATAAATGAGTTAAAATTACATAAATTATTAAATTTTTATTTAAATTTAATTATTAAAAATAGTTAATAAAACCATTAAAATTTATTATTTAACAAATTAAAATCAATTTACAAACACATATTTTCAAATATTATAATTAATTATTTTTAAAAAAAATTATAAACTAATAAAATATCATACAATTTGAAACCCTAACAAATTTACAAGTGGCTATAACCACAGTCAAAAGCCTCTCGCTAATTGAGCCCTTTTTGATTCTGATCCAAAACTTTAGGCCAATTGAATCAATCAATATATGGTCCCAAACCTCAAGCCACTAGATACTACAACAAACTAAAGAGGGGATTTTATTTTTAGGAAGCATTTATGAAGAAAACTGCGCGCGAAACACCCAACTTAAGTAACAAACTTGTGAAAGTCACCTTTCTATTTTTTTGACACCTAATTTGATAAAGATAGTAGAAAGGTTAAGCCTCATACAAAAGTTGAGAAAATCAACAATATAGACGTACAGAAGCACAACCACATCTTTCAAGGTTTCAACACACCCTTTTTATGAGGCTTAAATGCTATCCAATTAAATGGCTAAAATGAAGAAATTAGTAACACCCTTTCCCTTCTACAGTCTCACGTATTCAGGAATTTTTATTTTTATTTTTATTTTTTATTTTTGTGCTGTGCTATCTTGGATTGGGAGTAGATAGTTTACCACTTCAATTAGGTTAAAATATACAATCTAGGCTGAAATACAAAAATTTTTTTAAAAATTTATTTTTTTATAATCTATTTGCAAGGGTTAATGTATCTTCTTATCAAAGTGTTCTATAATTAAGATTGTATTTGGGCATAATAATAGGCTCCTCAGTCATTGAAAAAAAAAAAAAAAAAAGAGGAAATTTCCAAAATTTGCATGTCGCTATATCTGCTTTTAAAATCATATCGTATGCACTAATTCAACTTAAATAAAGTAAAGAATTGAATGCTTGTTAAACCAAGAATTTAAGAAGGAAAGGAATCTAAACTTGGAAGAAAATTGACAATAACTTTGATTTAAAACCCGAAAGTTCCTTTTTTTTTTTCATTTATTTCTCATATTTGGGGAGGCAGATAAGGATTGAAGCATAACCTCATTTTTCTAGGCTCTTGCATATTAAAGTGCAACGATTTTTAGCCTCAGAAAGTGACTTGTTTCCCCACCATCTCTCCCTTCTTTTCTCATCCTTTTCCTTTTGACGCATTTTAGAGGGACACGTAGAGTGAACCATATAAAAATCTGATTGTGTATTGTGTTCTATTATTGTAGCATTTTGTTTTCTTCAATAATTTGCACGGAAAAAGCATCCCATACACAATACATCACCAGAAAAGGGCATAAAGTTCCCCCAGGAGGCAAACAACAACAATACCCACCATTGAGCAACTGCTTACGAATAAATTTCTTGGAAGTGAGCCAGTTTTTCCCTTCTACCATTAACCCATGCAGGTATAGTTAATGGTTGACAAATTCAAAACCTTCGAAATCGAGGCGCTTTATTCGATCGAGATCGAAATCATTCAAAGAAACTGATACTGAAAAATGACAAGAATTAGAAAGACATGATATAAATAACTCATTAGTGTTCTATTTTTAATAAAAATAAAAAATTATAAATTTTGAACCATATAACACAAGTGAAATAAGTTAAGAAATAAAAAATAATTACCCATCTTTTTTTTCAAACATGAGTATTGCTTTTTCTTGGCTTGTGGTGGGGGAAATGTAAAAGGAAGTTGAACCCGTTAGAAACACATTCACATTCTTATACTCTCATATATCAGCTCAAGAACAATTGGCTCAATGCAACGGCATGTTCACTAATTACAATTCAAAATGACAAAACTGCAGAAACATATCTACAATTTTCAGGAGAGGCCAAAGCAATCTAAAAATGAGAAACATGAAAAATCACATCAACAGTTTCTACTCTCCACTCACGTTTGACTGTTGAGATGCCTCGCTGTCTGAACTAGATCCATCAGCACCAGAAGATTCAACTGGCTGTGTATCAGGATTGTCCAGGCTGTTACGTTTCTGGATAAGAGTTGTTCCCAATGAGCACCCAGAGAGTGTGACCAAACCCACAGCAGCAATGCCATCAGCAATAGCACTAACATCTCTTGTCCCACAGTACAGACCTCGGCTTCCAGCAACAATAATACCCTTTTTCTCATCAGCACTGGTCAGGACTGCAGGCAGTACATCTATTAATGGAGGGCTTGTCTGGCTTGAGGTACTGATAAGCAATCGCAGAGTTTCTCTTGCACTATTTTCCACCACAGAATCAGTTTCGGGAAGCAAAGGATTAACAAGTTTAGGGTGCAAGGGAGGAATGGTGGTTGAAATGGTGGGACCAGCACTCACCAGGTAACCTTGGCCTGAGGAGCAGACATCAATAACTGGAATATGAACAATTGGATCACACATCAAAGGGATAAAGGTTGGAATCTGCTGTGAACTTGCTGTTGGCAAGCAGACCAATGGATCGGGCAGTAATGCTGGGAAATCCAATGGGTGAGCATGGGTCAGATCAATAGATGGTGTGGGTTTCAACAAACTAGGAGTACTGTTAATTGGCAATATAGAAGAAAGTGGAGGAAGTGGAAATGAGTCAACTGAGGTGGGAAATTCAGGTAGGGCAGTTGAGTGCTGCAGGCTAGATGACACTGGGGGACACCAACAGTAGTAAGGAGAAAAAAGCGGTGGTGCTATGGAGGGAACTTGAGATGCAAGACCAAGAGTTGGTGGTACAGCTAGTTTCCCCAGCGATTCCAAAAAATTTGGTGTGAGAGGACAACTCTTAACATCTGGAGGCTTGTTATTTTCAGCTTGATTGCAACTACATGAATCAGTAGTAACGGAACAAGCAATGGTAAGGTTATCAGATACTGAAAGATGGCTTTCCCCACGCTTCCGTAACTTCTCCCTCGCGGCACTTCTCAAGGATGATGAATTTTTGGATGGTCCCTCTTTGAAAGAACTCGTTCTAGGACTCAGGCTACCCTGATAAAGGGAATTAGCCTTGATTGCCTGATTGCTAGAATGCCGGGATCTCAAAGATTTTGATGATACAGATGAAGATTGTCCAGCTTGCACATCTGCAGTGTCAGAAGCAGTCTCAGGGGAAGACGATGGAGAACTTGAACTACTTGCCTGGGTGATACTCACTGCTGTTCCCACAAGATAAGCACGAAGCTGAGTTGCAAAGCAGCCAAGTCGTGACTCACTGATTCCAGTTAATTCAGCAATACATGGTTTCCTCTTGATTAAATCCTTCATCTATCATGGGAGAAAAAGAAAAAAGACATTAGCTAGAGACCCCCACAATGGCAGTATGGGCAATATGTGTAAATCTGTGTATGAATTCAAGCAGAATTTCAGTCAGGCAATCAACTCAACTCTAAACTAATTCTCTCCAAAACACTCAATTTTCTCAAATTCTGTAAAACCAGCCTAAAAAAAAGCAAATGAACTCAAATCTTTGAGAAAATTTTCACTTGGAAATATCTGTAACATGAACAAATACATGTTATGCAATCGGGCACAAAACTGGGCATCAATCTCACTAAATAGCTGCTTGGGAGCATGGTTACTTGTGGGTTTGCCTTGGCACACACAGGAAAATTTATTCATTACTAAAGAAAGAATGCATACCTTTAAGAGCAATTCAATGCCCAAAAGCTTTGATTTCTCTGAGCACCAGTAGTGAAACACTTGGCCATCAGGCACCTTCACAAGGAAGGATCGTCCAGAACCGTCTGCTGGGATGTCATCAATTGCAACAGCAGCACACTGGGATTTGCTACTTAAGGTAAACAGCCTCTCTGTCTGACCATCATCCCCAATAAATGAAAGTCGCAAATCAGAAGTTGGCAAGAGCATAAGACTTAAATTTCCCCTGTGGCAATTTTTTTTTTTTTTTTTAAAGAGAGAATAAAAAATATTTTAGATGAAGTAAAAAGGGGAAATAAACAAAAAATCAACACTCAGCAATAAATGAAATCTAAAACATAGCAGTAGTCACATAAGACCTTGCACATAAACTCCTTATTTCTCTCTGTTGTTCTTTTGGGAATAAGGGCAGGGGACTAACATAATTCAGATCACTTCTGTTTCTCTTCTGCATCAACCACTATTTCAGATTGGCTAAAGAAGATGAAATCTTATCTTAATTACTCAATATATGTCTTCCTACCAAATAAGCTCCTAGATTCTACAGAACCCAAATCACAAAATCATAAAAGCTTAGCTATCTATCTCATAAAGAACACAGCAATGCAGTCATCTGCTATGGAACTACACGCGAATGTAGCCTTCTCTATTCACCTTTCAGTCTTTTCATTCTTTGATTTATTAAAATGGCCAATAAAACATCTGAAGACAAAGGCCTCCATTCTATCTCCTTGTTTATATTTATGAATTTGTTTTTATCCATCAGTGACAAATCACTTCAGAAAACCTACTGCGAGACCGATAAGATAGCAAACAAGTTAACTAAAGATACACAGCTATTACAATTTGTAATTTTTAATAAAATTTAGATCAGAGCAAAACGGCTAACCGAGACAAAGAATGATAACACATAAGATGAAGATAGAAGTATACAAACAAAAACAAACAAAAAGCCAAATCTAAGAAAAAAAGCATTTAAAATTGGAACAGATCTTTTAATAGCAAAAAAATCAGACTGATTAAGATTAACTAAGCATCACAATCACAAGAAACAGCATGTATTTAATTTAATTTAATACTCATTCCTGCCTATGATTGATTGTAAAATGTCAACCCTAGTGTACCAAAAAAAGTAGCAGCAAACCATATAATATAGGAGATGAAACTACCTTTACTTCCTCTTAATTCAGAGATCATAATAGAACACGCCCACTTTACCTACAAGTAAAAAGATATATTTATTTGGAAGCATGAATATCACCAAGAACAAACTAAAATAGAATCCTGCAATGTCCACTAATCATCAACCACTATACATATGCTCTCCGAAGACATTATGTAGGCAAACCTGATACTAAAGGATAAGTTCCAATCAACCAAGTCCCTTCAAAGACAACAACAAAGCAAATCACAGTGCAAAAAATCTACAACGTAAGATCCTAATAAACCATTTTTACTATTAAAATTATTAAAAACACCATAATGATCACTAAACCTACCTCCAGACTTTTCTCCCATGCCAAAATACAACCAAAAAAAGATTCAGCAGCATAATTAGGCCAACATGCCGTCAAGCTGAGTTACTGAAATAACCATTTACGGTTCATTGAAGATTTGATGTTATTACTATGTAAATGCTTGAGTTTATAAATCAAATAACTAGAAAGGTTCAATAATACAGATAGACAATCCAAAGAAGAGTAAAACAATGAATTAATTGTACCTTTAGATTTCCTATCAAACACTTAACCAGTTAGGATCAAATTAGAGAGTACCCTTGGCCTTGACAAAGTTTAGATCAACTAAAGGCAAAGTATGACTTCAATCTAAACTTCACTTAAGTCTCTGAAGAAGACATGCCACAACTTACAGGTAACCAACATGTGTGATACACTGCAAAAAGACCACAACATCTCCAAAACAAGTTTATTTTAAACCAGCTACCCACATGGGATACTGAAAGCATTACTATATTATATAATGCAGTCAATTACAATTAGATAGCAGCAAAAAACACCAACTTATTGCAGATATTACTGCAATCATGTCAACAAGAGTAGTAAAATAATTCATTGTGTAATGCCATAACCCAAGGTAACATGGGCAAATCAAACAATAAAATAAGATGGAACAACCAAACAAATTACAAAGCCACTGCAACAAAATTAACGTAGAAGGCTCTAGAAAAGCAAATACAGTCGCCTGGAAATATCCAGCACAGCATAGTTAAGTGTCATTTATCATTTTTGTGCACAAATATAAAAGTATATGCAAAACAAGTGTTTTACATAGATCGTATCAACAACATATGAACAATAGCTCTAATAATAATAATAATAATAAAAGAAGAAGAAGAAGCCTGATATCCTTCTAATCCAGACTACCTTGTAGCAGTTGGGCAAAGAAGAGCGCCTCGCTTGTCGACCTTCCCAACACGAATTGAAACGAGAGGAATGCAGAAGCACCTGGCTAACATCCCAACTTCGGACGGCTCAAAGTGCTGTTAGTCAAATAAATGACGATTGTCAGCAAAACAATATTTAATAAATCTAAGCGCAGCTAGCAGTACCACATCCATGATTACAATGCTGATAATATCTATTACTAATTAATGCTATGAACCTGTATCACCCCAAAAACGCCAACAAGACCAAAATTCCTCACATAAAACTGCAAAACAAGCTTCCAGCTATGGAACCACGGTGAATTCCCACATCTTATCCTCAAATTTCAGGTAATTACACAAACAGAATGTCTAACACATACCTGATTCAAATGAGCCAACAAACAATCCTCAACCAAGCCATTAGAAACGTTGACCTTCAACAAAGGCTTTAGCCTCTCATCAGCTCGACAAGCTCCCATTACTTGCATATCCAGCGCTTGTAGCCACTGCAGAACCCTATCTTCGCGGTCGCTTTGCTGAAGCAATAAGTCTCCATCACCATCCTCCACAAGAATATCAGACAATCGGTCCGTAAGTCCAGCTCCGGTCCTGACAGTACCGTTCTCTCTCGAAATGCTCCCAGATCCAACGCCAGACGAACCGACGGCGGTGGAAGAAAACGCATCAATTGACGATGTCTCCGATGAATCGGTGAAATCTTCACCGTGTGATTGATCCACGCGATCTTCAGCGGATTCTTGTTTTCTAGCATTAGCCATCCCGAAATCGATGAAATTTATCTCAAATCCAAATGAATTTGAAAAAAACGAAACCCTAAATTTTAGTTTCTCCTTAGATTCTGGGTGAATCGAAACACTATTTCAGGAGAGCTTTAAAAAGAGAGAGCCGGTTTTAGAGAGAGAATAAATATCTCCCACAGAAATTTGTTGAGACGAAATGGAAAGATAAAGAGGGAGGAATCTGTTATATAGGAATATACCAAGCGGACCTGAAGCAGCTCTATGGAATTTGATTTTTTTGTCAGCTTGAATCCGAGCTTATTTTCGAGTTATATATATATATATATAT